ATTGGCTCTGAATGTGGACACAAATCCTTCAAAATAAAAGCTGCGATAGACGTCATCTGTGAATGTGGATGCAAATCCTTCACAATAAAAGCTGCGATAGACGTTCGCTCTGAATGTGGACGCAAATCCTTCACAATAAAAGCTCTGATGGATGATCCTCCGCCAGCACCGATGGTTCAGCGTTCTGACCGAAACGACCCGGCTTTGTTTGTGCCTCACTTCAGAGCTCCTCCACACGATGCTATCAACAATAAATAATTTTCAGTTTGGACTTTTTAAATCTATTCAGAATCGTTCATGTCCACATCTCGGTCCATCGGGAAATATCTGTTAACCCGTAAAGGTTTTTATTAACTGCAGCAGGCAGAGATGGAATAACTGGACTTTTTCCTCCTCTTGTTTCAGATATGAAGTGGCCCCGCGGTCAGACAGCGAGGAAAGTGGCTCGGAGTTCGAGGAGGAGGTCAGTAGTTCTGAGCTCGTGAACGTCCTGCTCTCTGTTGGATGAGATGTGAGCGCGTCTCCTGCAGGGGGCAGTATGTGTCTGCCTCCTGTCGGTCGGTGCAGGGCACGCTCTAAGTGATGTCATCACCCTGTCAGGAAGAAGATGAGGTGGCCAAGACCGAAACGGAGGAGAAGAAGAAAATCGATCCGAATGCAGATAAAGCGCCTGCAACGGATTCCAAACACATCATTGAGTATTGGATTTTTTTTTTTATTATCCCATTTTCTCACTTCCCTTCAGAGCTTACATCAGCTGGTGAAAACATATTTATATTAAACACGCTGTGATTCACACAATCAAAGTAAAAAGTCCTACATATTTTCCCAGTTTACACAAACAGTCATCTTTTTTCACTTCAAGAGCAGAGGATTAAATTAACTCTCTCAGTGTTAGAATAGTGTCTAAGGTCTTAATCTGCCCACTTCAGGACAGCCAAGCAGGACGTGGACGACGAGTACAGCGTTCCCACGGACCAGACCAGCTTGCAGTCTTATTATGGGGTGGCCCACGCCGTCATCGAGAAGGTGGAGAAGCAGTCCACTCTCCTGATCAACGGCTTGCTCAAACAGTATCAGGTACACACACATGCACACAGGAAGGGGTGTTTCAGATGCACACGTGCGCTGACATGTTTAGAACGTGATGTCTCACTGAGCTGCGACTGTTTGAGACGAGCTGGTTAAAAAAAATAAAAATCTGTAAAATAGCAGAAAAAAGTGAGAAAACAACTGAATCTTCAGGGTTTTTTAGATTTGATTAAACTATTAAAAAAAGACTACAACCCCCATCATGCATCTGTCCTGCCGGAAGAATTGTGATGGACTTTCAATCTTGTAAACTAATCAGTTTTTATGCTTCGGTAACTGGATTGTTGTAGTTTTTGAATGATTTGAGCTGAATTTTAACAAAAGCATAAAATGTGTTACTTCAACTTGAATGTTAAAACATTTTCTGATGTTCAGCCCTTTAATTTGAACCTGAGCTCGTTGATGATGGAGAGAAGAATGCAGCAATGACTCAGCTTTCAAATGGAGCTAACGTATGGCGTTAGCACCAGAGTCGCCATAATTAGCGTTAGCTCCAGAGCTAAAATAAATTACGTTCGTTCCAGAGCTAAAATCTATGTAGCGTTAGTTTCAGAGCTAATCTATGTACCGTACTTTTCAGCCTATAAGTCACATTTTTTTGCATAATTTGCACGTCCTGCGACTTATAGGCCTATGCAACATATTTATGTTTTTTTCATATTTATAAACCAATTTTTGGCTGAGATATGACCGTTTTCATAAATTGTCACTGAAAAATTGAACACTACTATTTTCGGCCACTAGATTGCACTCGAGTAGTAAGGCATGCTGTTGTATCATGTAATAGATACAAGTGACTATTAATGACAAATTTGGCTTGCCATAGACTGCCACCGTAGTCTGCCTGCAGCAACTGAATCAGCTACATGCAGCTGATTTGACCTTCAAAGTGCATTTATTAGGTAAATGTTCAACTGAGACACACGTTTACTATAAAGTTGAGCAAACGAATAATTGTTTTAACTGGTTATCTTGTTAAATTTTGAGAAATGGACAGCGAGTCGCCCTCTGCGCGTTCCATGTTTCCGCGTATCAGCTTTTGAAAATGCAGCTGATTTGACCGTCAAAGTGCATTAATTAAGAAAAAGTTGGACCGAGACATAACTTTACTAGAATTTCGAGCGAATAAATAAATAAATGTTATAGGTGTTTATCTTGTTAAATTTTGAAGAAACGCTCAGAAGCCCGTCCCTCTGCGCGTTCCTACTTCTGCGTATCGGCTTTTGAAATACAGTTGGTTTAACTGTTCAAGTGCATTTATTAAGGAAAAGTTGAACTGAGACACACTTGCTATACCCAAAATATATCTTTATGGTCACATTATAACTTTTTCGCCTTTGCTCCTCGTGTTTTAGTCTCAACTACAACCGTTGTACGCCATCGCCCCAGAATGCATTGCACTTGTAAAATAATGGTGACGTCCTTATGTGAAAAATGTAACGAACACGTTAATGTTTTAGAAAGTAATTAAGAGTTTTCACGTATCACAAACAACAACGTTTGTTCGGATAGAGAAATCACAACATATGAAGTATGTGCAGATGACCCAGAGTTCCCTTTAAGAGCTCTAAACTAACAAACAGAGACTTGCAGAAACTCTGAATACTGTTGTCAGCTGTGAGATGTTCCTGAAGCTTCAGCCTCCACCGTGTTGGATGAAAGCAGAGCTGCACCCTGGAACAGAAACAACTTACTCTCTCGTATAAATAATGCTTCCAGCTCTTTGAGTTCTCTGTAATTTATGCAAAGCTAATCTTTTCCAATAACGTCTGCATTGTGAACACATTTTCCATCTCGTTTAGACATTCAGAACGATTTAAAGATCTGCCGGGTGCGTTACTCAAGTAGATGTGGCTGAAGTTTGTTTTATGACGTTGGGTTTGTTGTCTGTTTGCTTCCTGCCTCTGCAGCGTTTCCTTCCCTGCGGAGCAGGTGTCCATCAATAACAGGCATGGAAATGTCAAACTGCAGCTTTCTCTCAGGGAGATGTGTGTGTTTCTGATTTATTGTGTTTCTGTCTTTAAATGAGATTTGATGCTGCGCCTTGGAAACATTACATTTCAGCTGGGTAATAATTGGACCACTTGTCTTCACCTCCTGCATCAATCTGCTTTACGATCTGAATTATCAGGAGTAAACAACAGGAGCTGCACATTTATACGTCTGCTCAAAGCTGGTTGAGCCGCTGCAGTTTCCTTTTCTGGAAACAACCTGTGCAACACAAGATGAGAGTTTATAATTGGTCATCTTCTCTGCAGCCCCTGACCTCCTTTCTGTTTCACTGTACGGTTTGTTGTTGGCGTGAACGAGCTGCACGGTTCATGAAATGCATTATTTGTCCAACACACCGCCATGGCAGCAAGAAACCAGGACACTGATTTGCAGAAAAACATCTAAAAGTTAGAGCTTTTTACAGCCGAAGGAGGTCTAAAATCAGGAAAACACGTTTCATTGTAACTTCTTTAGTCAGGTTTTATATTTTAAACCTTGGTAGCAAAAAATTATACAATCTGTCACATCCCAGGGCTTCAACGTGCAACCAAAACTCTGGAGTGAGAACACTGAGGACGGCAACAAAAGGTGCTGTTCAGACATTTGACGTATTCTTTACTTTAAGACGACCCATAAACGAGAGGAGCTAAAAGTTGGGTTGATGCTTGCGGTGCCTAAATGTGTGCATTAATGACGTCGGACACGTAAAACCCAGGACTTTGTCCACAATTTAAAAAATGTGTTTCTAATTCACTTTTTTTTTTACATTTGTAAAACCTTAACTTTGATTTTTCTTCTTGTATTTGACTTTTCTGTTTTGCTGACTCGGGCGAAAAAACAACCAAACGTTTTCATTTGAAAAAGAAAACGGGGAAAATGATTTCGGTAACGAAAAGAGGAACATTTAAAGTATCATCTGCGCGTGACATCAGAATAGATATAAATAAATAAACGACACAGGTTCCAAACTGAAGGAACGACAAATGTCATCTTTCTCTGTGGTTTGTAGATCCAGGGTTTGGAGTGGATGGTGTCCCTGTACAACAACAACCTGAACGGCATCCTGGCTGATGAGATGGGTCTGGGGAAAACCATCCAAACCATCGCGCTCATCACCTACCTGATGGAACTCAAGAGGCTCAACGGGCCCTACCTCATCATCGTACCTCTCTCGTAAGTACCCCTCTCTGCCTTGCATCACATCTGTTTGATCTGCTAAAAGGTTCACAGCACAGGACCGTGTGCACCTTACTCACTTAACAACAATTACCGTGGAGCCGAAAAGACCCACCTTAATAACCTCAGTCCCACGTGTCTGATTGAAGAAGAGGAAAGTCTTCACTGATGGACGTTAGAGTGCCAGGCGTTCCTTCTCCTCTGCTTTAAATCCTTGTTCAAAGTTTTAACCTCAGAAAAGTGATCGATTCAAACACACACAGGTCAGGTTGATAACTGTTGGAGAGACGTCTTTTAAGAGGTGCTTTTCTCCCACAATGCAAAGCGCTAATGGCTTCGTCGGCTCACAAATAAACAAAACTATCTCAGACTGAATAAGTAAAATAAAAAATAAACTGCATCTGAAAGGTTCTAAGCTACTAAGTAATACCTTGAAGTTTTAGTTTGAATGTTTGAAACTTTAGGACAATTTGCAGATGATGTGGTCCTGTTGGCGTCATCGTGCCGTGATCTCCAGCTCTCACTGGAGCGGTTTGCAGCCGAGTGTGAAGCGGCTGGGATGAGAACCAGCACCTCCAAATCTGAGGCCGTGGTCCTGAGTCAGAGTTTGGGTTGTTCTCTTCAGGTCGAGGGTGAGGTTCTGCCTCAAGTGGAGGAGTTCAAATATTTGTTTGTTCACGAGAGAGGGAAGAATGGAGCGTGAGATTGACAGATGGATTGGTGCAGCGTCTGCAGTATTGTGGACTCTGTACCGGTCCATTGTGGTGAAGAGGGAGCTGAGCTGTCAGGCAAAGCTCTCTGTTTACTGGTTGGTCTTCGTTCCTCCCCTCACCTCTGGTCATGAACTCTGGTAGAGACTGAGAGAATGAGATCGTGGATACACAAAATCACAAATCAAAAGTTTTAAAGTCATTCCTAAAGACGGTTGTGTTCTGATAACAGCTGTTAATGACAGACGGGTATACTTCAGAAAACGTGAAAACACAGTTTTACAGAAGAAATGTTTCTGCAGGAAGCTACGGTAACCCCACTGGGACAAACCACTCTGCTGACTCTTTAAAGTGACAGCACAGATTAAATAAAATGGATTTTTCAAAGTCAGTTCAGATTCTTCCACGTCCACGATGCATCTAAAAAATATGTTTGACCTCCACCCCCCAGTTCCCAGAATAACTTTAGTGCTGGAATCATCTGGACTCCGTCGTTTAAAGCTGTCCACGTTAGAGAGTTTGAATTTATCTTCTAACATTATACTCTGCTGGGACTAACGTTTCCATTTTAATGTCCTTTCTAAATAAAGTATGATGGAAGAAACTGATGCTGGAACGTTTTGAGTTCTTTGTTTTGTGATGCGTGAAGCTCGTGTGAATTCATCAGATCGTTCTATTTGAACTGTGAATATTTAAAAACCATCTCTGCTGTCCGTCAGGTGAACAGAGTTGTTCCTCGTGAAAACGGAGCAGTGATGATAAGGAACATCCTGAGAGTTGAGGACAAATCACCTGAATGCCTGGTCTCCTTTGACGTGGTGCCTCCCCCATGCAGGTGTTGGAGGATTAAAGGGAACAATGGTTTCCTTTAGCAGTTTTAGCACTTTTCAGGATGACCGAGTGGAGCAGCTCTTACAGTCAAACAGCAGAGGCTTAAATCTGAGCTCCAGGCCACGGTGCTGAACGGCCTTTTTAATCCGCACGCTTGGAAACCGTGCAGCAAAGTGTGCAAGTCGACGGTCTTGATTTTGTATTTAGTGGTGATCTGAGCAGAGGGGTGGGTCCTGATCCTGAGGAAAGGAAAGCCTCTCTGTGAGCTGCACTCCATGATTCTCTGAGGAATGGTTCCGTTTTCCACTGCAGGGCTTTTACGCTGCTGTTTGACCCTATAGATTAATATCTGAACCTTAATGGAAGGTTTAATTAAATCCGTGGTTTCCTAATGCATCATTCCTGAATCTTCCCTCCTCTGCCTTGTAATAGTTCTGGTGTAGTTCTTCAGGGCACTACAGGCTGCAGCTTTGAACTGCTCAGAATTCAGGCCACGTAGACGTAAACTGCAGCTTCTCCGACCCGTTTTAATCGATGCTTATTTTCCAGGACTTTATCTAACTGGGTCTACGAGCTGGACAAATGGGCGCCGTCTGTTGTCAAAATAGCTTACAAGGTAAACTGACTCTTGTTTTTGTTTGTGTTGCCCCACTCGGGGTTGTTTGTGCTGATTGTGACAGGAAGTTGTTCTTGTTTGTTTGTTGTTTAAGGGCACTCCGGGTCTGCGCCGTGGCCTGGTGCCTCAGCTCCGCAGTGGGAAGTTCAACGTCCTGCTGACCACCTACGAGTACATCATCAAAGACAAGCACATTCTGGCTAAGGTGAGGCACATCAAAGCTCGCTGCTTTTCTGCAGCATGTTGTCAGCAGTTTCAGTCTGTTGCAACATCTCACACGTGCACGCGCTCCATGCACACCGGAGCTTTTAAAGGTCTGGAAACAAATATCAGCTAATGTGTTATTTACAACACCGGTTTAGGTGCATGCTTGGATGTAATTATTAACAAATCAAAAGTGCTCTAAACATCATGTATGTCGGGGCCATTCAACTGACGGCCCGGGGGCCAAATGAGGCCCACAGGTGAGCTCGGTTCGGCCCACCAGTGGGTTCATTTTTAAATAAAACTCTAAATCATAAACAAACTTAATGACTATAACTGCTGGATGTCCAGCCCCTGACCACTCTTGGCTTTCAGTAACTGTGCCCCCCCCCCACACACACACAACTCCGAGCAGTTTAGTTGAAAAGCCCTGATTTACCGTATTTTCTTGTGTATAAGTCGCACGAGTCAAAAAAAGCATCATGGAGAGGAAAAAACATACATAAGTCACTTCAACATAAAAGTTGCATTTATTATGCATTTATTTAATGGTCAAAACAGCTTCATGTCGCCTGAGCGGCGCAGTGCCATCCATCTGTCCATCCGTCCGTCCATCCGTCCGTCCATCCATCCATCCATCCGTCCGTCCATCCGTCCATCCATCCATCCATCCATCCGTCCGTCCATCCATCCGTCCGTCCATCCATCACGGCCAGAGCTGCCAGCTCTCCAGCGTTCCTGCACCAGCTGAGTGAAGCGAGCACAGCGCGTACAGGAGGACTCGCTGATGCAGCTCTTAGAAATTTAAAGCGTCTGCCAAAAAATTGCGTTATGAATATGGAAAAACATACAAGTCGTTTCGGCGTGTAAGTCGCAGGACTGACAAATCTATGCAAAAAAACTGTGACTTATACATTGGAAAATAAGATATGTCAAATATCTTTTTTCACGTGTCGCAGGTTGAGAGTTAAATTCCCCAGCAGTATCAGATTCAGACAAAATGAAGGGCCTCTGCAGTGAAACATCAGAAACCGTTAAACCTAAATGTTTTTAGCCCAAGATATTCAAGTTGACAGGAGTTACACTGTGGAGAAGAACAGAGGGAGTTTTTTTTCTTGTCTGCCAGGTGCAATGTTGGAGCCAGGGGTGGCCAATAGTGGCCTTGGCTCCCATAGATTAATCTTCAGCCACCCTAAAGGCCACCCTAACCATTCAAGGAAACAAAAAGTAGAAAGCTTAGTTTCAGATCCTGCTGGATGGATGGATGGATGGATGGATGGATGGATGGATGGATGGATGGATGGAATCCCACTTCATTCCACAACAAAAGGCTCTGAAACATGTTGAGAGAAATCAAACCAACCGTGCACGACACGTTGGTGTTGTTCTTTCGGCTGCTCCTCTCTGCAAGGGGCTGTCGCTGCGAGACGACTCATGATGGTTTTACACCGGATGTCCTTCCTGATGCAAACTGGGCTCGAACCAGCAGCCTCAGTGTAACGAGACCGCCCGCGACCCTGACCATCAAGCTACCACAGCCAACATTATGGAGATCATGCATAATTAATAAATGTTATTATATGTTTTGACTCAATATTTATTCTAATTTGTGCATTTCATAAATTTGAAGCATAGTGGCGGTAAAAGGTCCTTTAAAGTTTTGAGTTAAGCTCTCCAAGACTTACAGCAACCTTTATATAAATCTTTAAACAGGTTGTTCATGAGAAGTAAGTTTTGTTTTTGTGCATCCTGCTGTGCTCGTTTAATATTTGAAAACGTTCTGAGATCATTTCCATAAGAAACTGAAAGATTTTGGAGTTGAACCTAAAAAGTGTGTGGATGAAATCTGAAGCCGCTCAGTTCTCATTCAGTAGTTTTACTCCCTCGGGGTTAAAAACAAGTTAAGTAACAAATTTTAATTCATGAGCTTCTTCGTCTCTGAAATGTTTCAGATTGTTCGTTTGCTGTGATTGAAAATCCGCTCACAGATTCGCTGGAAGTACATGATTGTGGATGAAGGCCACCGCATGAAGAACCACCACTGTAAGCTGACCCAGGTGTTGAACACGCACTACGTGGCGCCCCGCCGCCTCCTCCTCACCGGGACGCCGCTGCAGAACAAGCTGCCCGAGCTGTGGGCGCTGCTCAACTTCCTGCTGCCCACCATCTTCAAGAGCTGCAGCACCTTCGAGCAGTGGTTCAACGCGCCGTTCGCCATGACTGGAGAACGGGTAACCGCTGTTCATCCATTCATGTGTTCATAAGCTTCATGTATTGTCGTTTTCCCAGCCGCCCGGTGTGTAAAGACGCTCATTCATTGAGCTGCCGGTGCTCTGATTTCTGTAACCACACCTGCTGCAAACACAGCTGCTCTTCCAGGAGTTTGTTTATTTGGATAAATGAGATTAAACGACAGAAGCTGCATTTCACTGCAGGAACTTTCTCTTAATTTCAACCAACAGATGTTTATGTTTTGGTTGTAAATGAGCAGCAGACACACTTTAAAAACGTAAATATTGAACCTGTAAACCAGGGGTGCCCAGACTTTTCATCATGGAGCTCCTTTTAAAATGACCAGCTCAACGTGATCGACCGGCTGTAAGACCCCGTTTACACAGAACAACCTCTGGAAACTTTAGTGTTTTTTAATGTTTATTAAATAAAAAATGAGTGGTTTACATGAAAATGCTATAGTTTCCATGTCAGTCGGGTTGCCAGATAACAAATGATGAACTATATTTCTGTGGCTTTAAAATGACAGTATTTTGAGCTAAACTGTCATTTGTGCTGAGTGAAGATATTCTAAGATGAGGTGTGTGTTGTGTTTGGCACAGAGAAGGAGGAGTAAGTAAGACATTTTTAATTTATCTGGCAACCCTGATAACTGCATTCATTGTGCATGCAGTGTCTGCTTGACAGTTGGTCCAAACTGGCTCTTTGGAGCCTGGATTTTATTAGTTTTACTCCTACAAAAGGGCGAGCAGCACAAGAACACTCTGCTCTCTGCCATTTATTATAACTGTTATTATTTATTATAACTGTTGTTATTTATTATAACTGTTATTTATTATAACTGTTGTTATTTATTATAACTGTTGTTATTTATTATAACGGTTGTTGGAGCAGAGAAACTTTGGACTGCAGCCGCCTGTAGTGTGCATGTGCCACTTCACACTTGGAGAATCTCACTCCTCCGTGGGGGGTTCCCCTGAAACTCTGAGCCCTGGTTCAGAAACCTTTGGTCTGTCGTCTGTAAATGAACGAACGCTTCACGTCGTGTGAACGAGGCCTCGGACTGGCTGCCCTGTCTGTCAATCAAGAGACAGATGTCATAGATGTACGATCGGCTGACGTCTGTTTTTAATGACATGAGATCTACCCAGAATACCTTTGAGATCGACTGGTAGATCGAGATCGACTGGTAGATCGAGATTGACGTATTGAGCACCCCTGCTGTACACCCTGGGGTGTTGCTTTTAAACCTTTTTCTTTTGTCTGTTCGTTTCCAAGTCGTCGTCTGGCAAAAGACGGAAAATTTTGTAGAAGTAAAAGTTTGTGGATAAAAGTAAAACGGTTTTATCAACAAAAGTTTAACTGTTGATCGGTGAAACGGCATCAAACTGTAAAAACAACGGTCTCAACAAAAACACTTTGGCCAAAGATCCATCTTTTTAATCTTTGTCTGTGAAATTACTTATTAGGAAGAAAAAATGAAATTAGCCTAAAGCTGAAGGAACAAATCCAGATTGAACAACAGACAAATTCTCATTTTCCACATGTTGAACAAAAGCAGCTGCTGTCCAGTCATGAATAATTCCTCCTGAGCTTCAAAGATCACAAAAACACTTTACCATAAGTTGATTTGTTTGGTTCAGAAGCGTTCAAGGCTGGAGCAGCAGCAACATTTCATATTTCAATATTCAACATGTACTCCAGGGATCATTTGAGATATTCTGCTGTACAGATGTTTTACTAACAGGAGCAGAAGCTACCTCCACCAGATGTTTTACTAACAGGAGCAGAGGCTACCTCCA